GCAATCTTGATTTTTTTTCTGTACAGATAGAAGTTGTAATTCATGTGGTTCTGGGAGTAATATTTTATGTATATACATATATTTATGCCTATGTATTAATATGTGCACTATTACTATAAGAATCTTTTTTGCTGTTTGTTTTTGCATCATTCTTTGTATGCTTTTAGCTATTGTTGTGCCATATGTATTATTATTCCTATAATATTTACTATCATATTAAAATACATGTATACGCTTGAAACATAACATCTATGAAATGAGCACTTTAGTGCTAGGTACACTTAAAGGACCACTACAGTGCCAGGAAAACATACTCCTCCTCCTCTCCGCCTCTTCGGCTGAATGCGCATGCGTGGCAGGAGCTGCGTGCGCATTCAGCCAGTCTCATAGGAAAGCATTTATAATTTACCCTTTTTTTTAATAAACATAGCAGTTTCATAAATGGGTTAGTCCAGCCTCTAAAGCCTCTAGTGTCTCATTGACAGCCGCTAGAGGCGTTTGCGTGCTTCTCACTGTGAAAATGATTTTCACAGTGAGAAGCACGCAAACGCCTCTAGCGGCTGTCAATGAGACACTAGAGGCTTTAGAGGCTGGACTAACCCATTTATGAAACTGCTATGTTTATTAAAAAAAAGGGTTAATCCTAGAGGGACCTGGCACCCAGACAACTTCATTAAGCTGAAGTGGTCTGGGTGCCTAGAGTGGTCCTTTAAGCTTGCTAACCAAAGTGAAGAGCACACTCATAGGACTTTAAAAAAAAAAAAACCTTAATTTTTTGCCGTCATGGAACAGCTGCTTAAAATAAAGGGTCTCTTTTGTTTATCTTTAAGTCATATGGGTGCTTTCCCAGGTCTCCCAACCATCCTGATTTCAATGGAACAGTCCTGATTTTTGGGTCCTGTCCCGTTTTCCAGATTTTTGGGTCCTTTCTAAAAATATTTTGGGTCTTGTCCCACCATGCGGATTTAGTTCCTTGGCGTCACACTTTTGGGGACACCAGGGAACTGTCCCCAATAATCATAGCAGGAACACAACATTAAGTACTAAAACGGTGCTCCATGCAGGATCTGCCCTCGGAAGCTTGGCATGTTTTCACACCAGGTTGACTTCTTAGTAATTTGGGCTCCATTTCAGGGCAGAGCCAGTGATACAATCGCCTAACTGGCTCTATTTCTTTACCTCCCTCCCACCTGGATTGTCTGGACGCCATAGTTAGACGGTATGCTTCCTTCACATTGGAGTCATAATTTTCAATTTTAAATTATGTTTTCCACCTCTATATCTGCACTCTACACTGGCACGACACGTTAAAGTGTTGATATAGAGTTTCTTCCAGGCCTGCTTTCAGTTCCCAGTCCGGCCCTGTTGATGTCATGTTATGGTGTTTAAAGTGCCCCTTTGACATTCAGCACTGTGTTTTAGAAACCCTGATACATTAACATTAAATGATTCATTTTGTCCACAGACAGCAGCACATAGCAGCACACAAACACATTGTTTACGTTAAGTCAGACAGATAATTTATTCAGGTCATTTATTAGGATAAAACAGGTGAATAAAGGTATTCTTCATTTCTTCTGTCTTTCCATTTTCTCCTGCGTTTCCTTTTGGCGAGTGAACGAGCAGGGATTTGGTTAATCCCGAGTAAACATTGCAGCTGTCACTTTCCACTTATTAGTCAGTTGGTCTGCAGACTCTCTCATCATTCGCCCTCCATTCCCTCTGCAATGTTGCATAATGAACCAGAAAAACACAACTCTTCCTCAAAAAGAACATTTTTCTCTACAATGAGCCTCGGCTCCGACCATTTCTTCTTCCTTACAGTAAAGTGTGCTCTAATTAAGCAGACTAATCTTCATCATTGAAAGTGTGAGCTGAGATTCACATTCTGACTATGTACCGTGCATCCAAAACAGTTGCCCAGTGGACGGACACGTCTTCAATTCAGTGTGTTCATTGTGCTAGCAGCAGACTATTTAAATGCCTGGGTGTAACTGCTGTCTTATTTTAAGCCAATTTATCTCACTAGCTCTAAGACTCAAAATGTGTAAAAGCATATATCACAGGATAGCAGATTATAGCAGTTATAATGTTATGTAAACAATGCAAAGACAAACGACTGGCTAATTTCTAAATCCATTTTATCAAATATTATTTTAGCTTTGGAACTACAAGTAGTATGCTTCCTTCACAAGTAGTGGGTGTCCCAACGCATGTCCACACCTGCCCAAATTCCCACATCTGACCAAATTGAACACTGTGGGCTACTATGGTCCAGAAATCGAGTCATTGTGCAATGCACTATAGGTTTGGTGCATGCCAAACATTGGCTTGTTATTATTTTGCTTGCACAATTTTCAGTTTTTCATTTATTAACCAAACACATCTTAAAAAATAATTTTAAAAAATTAACAATGTGTGAAGAAAAATCCAGAGCCATGAATATCCATTCCGGTTTCCAATTTGTGTTGTGGTTGGTAAATGAATACACCAAGTAAAATTGAGCTACGGTGACAAATAGTGAATAGAATTGAGTGCTATAAACATCACTAGCACAAACAAAGTGTAAGGTTCATACCAAATGCTTCAATCACTGGACCACCAGGGGATAGGACTCCCCTAACCAGGTCAAAGTAAACAAGAGAGAGGGGAAATAAACTTTTGGGTTATTTTTTTTAATAGCAATATTTGTAATTTTTTTTGCACTCTTATAGCTTCAGCCCTATTTCCCTCACCCACGACTGCTCCTATCCCCCCCACACACTTCATTTTTTATACCATCCAAACACACAGATAAATCTCTCCCCTAACCCATATTCACAAGAACCCCTTTCCCCCTTGCACACTACATCCACTTTCTCCACAGACACACTACAGCCCCTCTCCCCCAAAACCCGCATTACAAACCCTATCCATATCCCCAGGGCACACACACTACTGCACTTCATTCCCTATCTCCCCACACACTAGTCCAGGCATAGGCAACCTTCGGCACTGCAGATTTTTTTTAGCTACACCTCACATGATGCTTTGCCAGCATTATGGGTGTAAGAGCATTATGGGGGATGTAGTTCACACCATCTGAAGTGCCGCAGGTTGCCTATCTCTGCACTAGTCCATCTATCCCCATATCACACATCACACTTCAAATAGTCTTCTCCACACACACATACACACAACACTGCAATACAGCCCCACCCACACTTACAATCCCATGAGCAGTATACTCTAACATGCAACCCTACAAGCTGTATTCCTGTCACTCGCCGTGCCCGCAAGCAGTGTCCCAACCATAAGCAGCTGCCCCATATAGATCCAATAGAAGAGCTAGCCTACTCCACACACGCAACCTCACAAGCAGCCACTAAATACATGCAACATCACACGCAGCACCTCCCCCCCAGGACCGCCTCTGTCCCTGATTGACACTTGTGATGATACAACATGTCCCATCTCTTGCCCTGCCTTCTCATTTTGGGCAGGTATATATTGAAATGCCCGGGCCGAATTTGTGTCCCAGTCCAACCTTGTTCACCGAAATGTGAACTATGGGCAGTAGCGGATCCAAGGGGAGCCACCAGGGCAAGTGGAGGATTACGGGGGATTGCGGCTGGAGGATGAATAGATACTATTGCACGCTGCCCCATAGCATCATAGATCACCTGCAATAATTGCTGTGAGCGGGGGGGAGGAGGGGCAATAATATTGTGTACCTGTGACCACTGTCCACCATAGTGCAAGAGGACTTCTGCATGCTTTGTACCCCATGCCCTATTCTCGAGGGAAAGAAGAATGCAATGAGGCTCATAGTTGTCAGTGGAACTGAACCATCAGGGTAAGTGGCCTATCAATTTCTTGTGCAGGAGTCTGGGGGAGAGGAATATGGCTACAGGAAGATAAGAATATGTGGGTGAAGAAAGCTAGAGGATGGCAGGCAGAATGTGTCACAGAGCTCCTCAGCAATGAAACTTACAGCAATGTGCAGTTTAGATAAGTATATCAAAGAGCTCCTCAGCAATAAAACTCACAGTTCTGTGCACTGTATTTGAATGTATAGCTATAGCACTGTTATTTACAATTACATTTTTTTTTATTATCTGCTAGACCACCAGAACAATTGGCAGTTCCTCTTCTGAATTCGGGTGCTAAAGCCACCCCTGATCGCGAGGAATTCAAAGTAAATTCAAAGTGAATTTCCAAGTTTGGGTAAAGTTGCAGAACTGCCCATTTTTTCAATTCAGGTATATTTCTTGTCTGGCTCTTTTTACCTAATTTCACAAGTATAGAAATCGATTCCCTGCGATTCACATAGGAGGATATTCAAGCGAGAATTTAAAGTGAATTGTAAACCTAAGGTCCAAATAGACAATCTGGAAAATATCCTGTAAGTCAGCAATACTTCAGATTGGCTATTCTGGGTTACATTTGAAATCCACTTTGAATTTACTTTAGGAATTAACCTCGTAAAAATAATTATTGCTGGGAAGTCAAAGTGAATTTCACATTCAAGGCCGAATGGAAGAGAATTGTGCTGCTGACACTTTATTGCTCCCCTACCTATGTCGGTGTCCCCCATTTAAAATGGTATGTTGAATTTTCCTTATGTCCCACAGTATGCTGGTTTCTGCATTGGAAGAATTGGGAGGCAAACGCCACACTGTGCAAATCAAATGCTCTCAATGGCAGTCACTCAGTTTAACTCAATAATAGCTGTGTAAGAATATCTAGTGACTGTCTTCCTGGCAGCCACTAGAGGCATGTTAACCCTGCAATGAAAACATTGCCAATCCTGCAAACAACAGGGGTTTCAGTCGCAGGTTTAAACAGACAGGGACATGATAACCAGACCACTTAATTGAAAGTCCCTTTAAAATGATGTTACTCGGACTCCCTTTAGACAGCATATGTACTCCACACATTAGATCAATGATTATTGGATTATTTTATTTTGCTTTGAGTACAGATTCATTAGAAGTCAAAGAGGATTATTTACCTTTCTTATTATTAAATTATTACATTATTTTATTCAGCACAAATGCCCCCCACCAGCTCAAGGCACATACTTATCCAAATATGTTGTCATGTTAAAGAAACTTTATAAAAATGTGCATAAATCAAATACTTGATCCATGCCTTTATAGCATTTCGACCAGCATAGCGCATGAATGACCAGCCTAGTACATGAACGACCAGCACAGTGCATGAATTATCAGCCTAGAGCACGAATGACGAGAATAACGCATGAATGACCAGCCTCGTGCATGAATGACAAGCACAGCACATAAATGACCATCACAGTGAATTAATTATCAGCCTAGCGCATGAATGACCAGCAGAGTGCACTAATTACCAGCCTAGCACATGAATGACGAGCATAGCACATGAATGGCCAGCATAGCACATGAATGGCCAGCATAGCACATGAATTATCAGCCTAGCGCATGAAAGACGAGCATAGCGCATTAATGACCAGCCTAGTGCATGAATGACCAGCATAGCACATGAATGACCAGCCTAGCGCATGAATGACCAGCATAGTGCATTATTTATTTTGCATGATTTATGAAAGGCCACTTCTCTAATTAACATTATAGTACAAGCCCTCTGTCAGGGCCGGTGCAATGATTTTTGGCTACACAGGCAAAGATGCATTTTTCCGCCCCACCATTAAAAAAAAATGCATCTTCACCTGTATGTCTTGTAACCCCCTTTTGATTTTCTTACCATCTTTAGTAAATTTCATCTCCCCTTTACTATATCTTACACCCTCTTGTGTGTCTCGTATACCCCCCTTGTGCATCTTTCTTTCCCCAGCCCCTTTGTGTCCCACCCCACTATTTTTGCATATCTCTTTCTTCACCCAGCCCCTTTCTGTGGCTCTCTCCCCTTAGCACATTTTGTGTCTTTTTCCATAGACTTAGATATATAGCAACACACAACCACACAATCAAACAAATACAGGCACACAGCCATACAATCTACACATATAGGTACACACAGAGACATACAGACACACATAGAGACATTCAGACACTGTTATACAGACACAGGCATACAAAGAAATACATACACAGGATTATAGTCATACATATACACGCATACAGAGCAGTGGCAGATCCAGAGGCTAATCTCGGGAATGGCACTGGTAGTGGCTTATAGTGGCTGTAATTGAAAAGTTAGGGGATGCAGTAGAGGGCTAAAGGCTTTAGTGGGGGGACAGGAACTGTAGTGGAGGGTACAGGCTGTAATTGGGGGGTTTAGAAATGTAGTGGGGGATAGGGGCTGAAGTAGGCTGATGCCTACAATCTGGGAAATGGGGCTGTTGTGTGGGTTATATGGGTTACAACTGGGGGACATGGGCTGTAGTGAGGGTATGGGGGCTGTGGGGGTGGAGGAACATGGGGCTGAGGAAGGAAGGGGGACAGGGTCTGAGGGGGGGCAGGGGCTGAGTATGAAGACAGGGGCTGAGTAAGGGGAAATGGTCTGAGTAAGGGTACACGGGCCGAGGAAAGGGACAGGGCTGAGGAAATGGACAGGGGCTGAGGAAAGGGAGAGGGACTGAGTAAGGGGACAGGGGCTGAGGAAAGGGAGAGGGACCGAGTAAGGGGACAGGGGCTGAGGAAGAGGGACATGGGCTGTGGGACAGGGGCTGAGTAAGGGGACAGAGCTGAGGAAAGGGACAGGGGCTGAGTAAGGGGACAGGGGTGAGGAGGGGGACAGGGGCTGATAAAGGGGATCAGGGTCTGAGGTGGGGGAAAGGGACTGAGTAAGGGGACACAGTCTGAATAAGGGGACATGGGCAGAGGAAAGGGACAGGGGCTGAGTAAGGGGACAGGGACTGAGGAAAGGGACAGGGGCTGAGTAAGGGAACATGGATGAGGAGGGGGGACAGGGGCTGATAAAGGGGGTCAGGGACTGATAAAGGGGGTCAGGGTCTGAGGAGGGGGAAAGGGGCTGAGTAAGGGGACAGAGCTGAGGAAAGGGACAGGGGCTGAGTGAGGGAACAGGGATGAGGTGGGGGGACAGGGGCTGATAAAGGGTGTCAGGGTCTGAGGAGGGGGGAAAGGGGCTGAGTAAGGGGACACAGTCTGAATAAGGGGACACAAGCCGAGGAAAGGGACAGGGCTGAGGAGGAGGATAAAAAAAAAAAACTAAAATGTATTCCCCCCCCTCCCTGAGGCTTACCTTGGTCCAGGGAGGGGTGGGACAGTATCTGGAGCCTGCAGCCTGCAGTCAGTGAAGTCAGCCGGCCTCTGCTGATGATGTCAGGAGGAGGGGGCGTGACTTTCTTTGCTCTTCTCCTAGACTCCCCAGCGGTCCTGGGAGAAGATCAGTGAAAGCCACGCCCCCTCCTCTTGACATCATCAGGAGAGGCCGGCCAACTCCACCGGCTGCAGGGAGAGAAAGGTAGGTGGACAAATCTGAGTCCCCAGCCAGAGGCAGGACCACAGCCAGAGGCAGGGGATTCGGATTTTAGTGCCCCCTCCTCTGGTGCCCTAAGGCGGACACTTGTGCCACCTTATGGACACGCCGGCCCTGACATAAATTGTCACTCCAGGTGTTGTGGACTACATCTCCCATAATGCTCTTACATTCATAATGCTAGCAAATCATCAGGGGGGATTTAGTCCACAATATCTGGAGTGCCGGAGCTGGACTAAACCAACACCCGAGACAATGATTAGCAGACACTTTGGAAATAAGTCAGAATGCACAGTGCTACAACCCCCATCAATATTAGCTATCTCCAGACATTTGACTGGCTGAGAATAATGGAAGTTGTACCTGGTTATATGATGATGATTGAAGAGCCGAGGGTGCTGGAATACAGGCTGTTTAGCGCTCCGCTCGTTTGTGCAAGTTAATTTGCGATCTCATTGAACATGTAACTTGGTTATTATAAGACATTTGTGCTACTGGAGTGGCAGGTGTAATCCAGTATCATCTATTTCATAAACCGGAGCTGCAGAGTCATATGAAACCTTGTCACTTAATCACACCTGTCTGATTGAAGGGAATAAAAACAGATGAGACCTGTCTCTAGGTATGTAAACCAGTTACAGACTCCCAGAACCTAGCTCCAAAGCTACAACCTTCTCATAGTCACAGTGTCAAACAGCGTGCAGCTCAGATCACACAGCAAAACCCCTGCTCAGACACACTGATATATCAACCAAGCAGAGCACAGCATGCAATGTACAGAGCATGCAGCAGGAATGGGACTGTGAATAGCATGCAGCAGGAATGGGACTCTACAGAGCATGCAGCAGGAATGGGACTGTACTGAGCATGCAGCAGGAATGGGACTCTACAGAGCATGCAGCAGGAATAGGACTGTACTGAGCATGCAGCAGGAATAGGACTGTACAGAGCATGGAACAGGAATGGGGCCACTGCAGGAACAGGCAGACAGTGCAGGAACAGCATCAACGATCATACAGTGCAGGAACTGCATCAAAGATTAGACAGTGCAGAAACAGCATCCAAGATCAGACAGTGCAGGAATAACAGCATAAATCAGACAGTGCAGGAACAGCATCAAATATCAGACAGTGCAGGAATAACGGTATAAATCAGACAGTGCAGGAACAGCCTCAAAGATCAGACAGTGCAGGAACAGCATCAACGATCAGATCGTGCGGGAACAGCATCAACAATCAGACCGAGCAGGAACACCATCAAAGATCAGACAGTGCAGGAACAGCATCAACGATCATACAGTGCAGGAACTGCATCAAAGATTAGACAGTGCAGAAACAGCATCCAAGATCAGACAGTGCAGGAATAACAGCATAAATCAGACAGTGCAGGAACAGCATCAAAGATCAGACAGTGCAGGAAAAGCATCAAAGATCATACAGTGCGGGAACAGCATCAACAATCAGACCGAGCAGGAATACCATCAAAGATCAGACAGTGCAGGAACAGCATCAAAGATTAGACAATGCAGAAACAGCATCCAAGATCAGACAGTGTAGGAACAGCATCAAAGTTCAGAACGTGCAGGAATTGCATCAAAAATCATACAGTGCAGTGCAGGAACAGCAACAACAATCTGGGAGTGCAGAAACAGCAACAAAGATCAGACAGTGCAGGAAAAGCATCAAAGATCAGACAGTGCAGGAATAATACCATTGATCAGACAGTGCAGGAACAGCAACATCAATCTGATAGTGCAGGAACAGCAGCACAGATCAGACAGTGCAGGAACAACACACCAGGCAATGCAGGAACAGCAAAGAACTGGCAGTGCAGGAATAGAAGTGCACATCAGGCAGAGAAGGAAGAGCAGCACAGATCAGGCATCACTGGAACAACATCACAAATTATGCAGTGCATGAACAACAGCACATATCATTCAATGCAGGAAGAGCAGCACAGATCAGGCAGTGCAGGAACAGCACAAAACTGGCAGTGCAAGAGCAGCAGCACAGATCAGGCAGTGCAGGAACAGCAACACAGATCACGCAGTGCAGGAACAGCATACATCAGACAGTGCAGGAACAACCGCACAGATCAAGCAGTGCAGGGAGAGCACACATTAGGGGGTGCAGGAAGAGCACAGAACTGGTGGTGCAGGAATAGTAGTGTGCATTATGCAGTGCAGGAACAGCACAGATCAGGCAGTGCAGGAACAGCAGTACAGATCAGCAGGGCAGGCAGAGCACAGATCAGGTAGTGCAGGAACAGCAGTACATATCAGCAGGGCAGGGAGAGCACAGATCAGGCAGTGCAGGAACAGCAGTACATATCAGCAGGGCATGGAGAGCACAGATCAGACAGTGTAGGAACAGCAGTACAGACCAGGCAGTGCAAAGAGAGTACAGATCAGAGAGTGCAGATATGTGGGGCAGCAGTAGCACTGGTGCAGAGACAGTTTGATAAATTGGACTGTGCATTGTCAGACAGAGAAGCACCTCTACAGATCAGGACACTTATTGCTGATACCGTGACATATGACAGTGGTAGTTATAATAGCTGCAGTGTGTGGTTTCATATATAAGAATGGGTTAATAGTTAGTGATTCCACAGAAAATAAAACCACACGGTAAACTCTTTTTACATTGATATCTCCTGATTCCCACTCTCTTCTAATCTCAATAAACTCTCATGGCTGCATTGGCAGTGAGGCATGAAGCGCTCTATGTATCTGTCCCTTTAATAGTTCTCATTGATTCAGGCGCAGAGCCTGTGGCTATAAAGAGACATCTGTCCTAGGCTTGGATGAGCTGGAAAGTCACTCTGCATTTAACCCTTCATTAACTGTGTCGTCTCACGCAGCCTGGCAGAATGATTGCCCCAAGCCAGCACATCACCGCTTAACTCTTTGAGTGCCAAAGACACATGGTGTCACTCTACCCTTTCAATGCCAGCACATTGTACGGCATATTCGTATAACACTCCATCCTTCTCTGAAACCGGGGAGATTCAATGTACGTTCAGTGGAGTTTAGACTAGAATCCAAACCTAAGACTGTTTTATTAATTGTTTATTTGTGGACACATTGCATTACCAGATTTCTGTTTGCCATAGAATGTTATCTGCACCAGGTACAATCAAGCTGCATACACACACACACACTGATTCTACAAATACATATATATATAACGTGTTTTATAGAAGGTTGTATCGTGTTGTCATGGAGATTTCCAGCCAGAGATGTTTGAGAGTCAGTTAATCGTTAAGCATAAAGGACCCAGTGGTGGCATGCATCAGGTTCTTCATTCCACCATTCTCCTGGTTTCCCACCACCTTAGAGGACCAGCAGGACCTCGCTAGCCAGCTGCTAGCTGAGTTCCCTTCTCAATACCTTTATAATTTGTTTATTGTTTTCTTCTATATTACCTTCCATATAATCTTCATCAGCATTGTGCTTATCATCATCATCATCATCATCATCATCATCATTGACCTTCTACTCTGCATGGAAACTTCTTGGACAGAGAGAAGCCATCACTGCAGTATTTCAAGTCCCTCTGAAAGTGAACACAAAAAAGGGTCTCTCTCCCCCTCCACCCCCCTGCTCCCCCCCTCACCTCCTTACCAAACACCCCATCCCTTTCTTTCTGTGGAATGCAGAATCCAGCCAATACAATGTAAACGTATCCCCAGCCCTGGTTGTAAGGAACCCACTGCCTTCCCCCCTCCCCTCCTCCTGCAGCTTTAAACTTGTGCAGCATTCCTAACATTTACTTCATCCAGCTCTCTGGTCTCCACACTGCCTTCTGCATCAGCACCAAGCAACAGGACAGCTACAGTGGCTGCCCTGCAACACCCTCAAAACCTTCTGCATCAGCACCAGGCATCAGGACAACCACAGGGGCTGCCCTGAAAAACCCTCAAAACCTTCTACATCAGCACCAGGCATCAGGACAACCACAAGGGCTGCCCTGAAAAACCCTCCAAAACCTTCTACATCAGCACCAGAGATCAGGGCAACTAGAGGGACTGACCCGCAACACCCCCCCCCCCCCTTTTTTTACATCAGCACCAAGCATTAGAACAGTTAGCTACAACAGCCTCCCCTGCTTTCCACATCAGCACCAAACATAAGGACAACTACAGGGGCTGCCCTGTCACCTCTTCTAAAACCTTCTGCATCAGCACCAGGACAACTACAGGGGCTGCCCTGCAACACCCCCTCCCCCCACCCCCCACAGCCCTTACCCCTCTGCTTTTTACATCAGCACCAAGCATTAGTCAGTTAGGTACAGTAGCTGCCCTGCAACAGCCTCCCCTGCCTTCCACATCAGTACCAAGCATCAGGACAGCTACAGTGACTCCCCTGCCACATCTTGCATTGCCTTCAGCACCAAGCATCAAAACAGCTACAGGGGCAGCCCTGCAACATCTTGCATGTCTCACAAAGCCCACTTTGAGTCTGTGTGACTGTGAGATTGTGTGTGTCTCTATAGCTGTTATATCATTGGGTCTGTCATTTACCCTCCCTCCTCTGTTCTCTCTCCCTCTCTCTCACTCTCTCACTCTCTCTCTCACTCACTCTAATGTGTGATCTAGAAAGCTTATAAAAGCCTGATGTAATTCGCTATGCAGCCCCTGGCTACAAAGACGGGATCTACTTTCACTGAGAAGCTAAAATAAAAAGACAGACAGAAGACATTGCATACCAGCGGATCCTGAGCAAACATCTCTCTGGGAGACAATTTCCTCCTGTTGTGGGCAAGCTGCATGAAATATTCCTGAAGAAGGCTTGATTGTCTCATTGGATGTAACCATTTCTGGGATATTTAACTGGGATTGTTACCTAAAGGCTGCTTTTCATCTCCAGTGATCCTATTACCTGCACATTGTGCTATAAAGTTCCTTCCAGCCACCAGGTTTCCTATTCTCCAGACTGGGCTCATTTCAGCCTTTCTCTGTTTTGGGAGATAGAGAGGGTTATGGTGCTGGGCTGACACCTGGAATTTGTCCTAAGGAAGACCAGGAGACGATCTGAAGTGAAAGAATCTCAGGTAAACAGATACACTGAAACACAAACTTGTTTTATATTGGAGATTGCCTTTGGAGGGCATGTTTGTAAATATTTTGGAATTGAGACCTTTGCTAGTATTGCTGGGAGGTATTGCTAAGTGGGGGGGTCTTTTTTTCCAGATTAGTGATTGTGGGGGATATCATTCTACTTCCAAGTCACCTTATAGATGTCCATGGAGATAATAGAACATGGACACTATAGTATTCGTTTTAACTATTCTATGCCCAGAGCCCCAGCTTTAACCCCTTCAAGTCCAAGGTAATGTAAAATCCATGTAATTTGGGGATGGCAGCCCTGAAGTGGTTAAATAACAGTGGATTACATTAATTGTTTAGTTGTATATGAAGATAATGTCCTTAACTCTTAATTGCTGCTGCTGAAAAAAACCCCATAATATAGAGAATTGTGATGCATCTAACATGCTTTGTGTGTGTGGATCTATGTGTAGTGTGTGTTTATATTGAATGCAAACATACTTCCATTCATCCATCCATACATGTTTAACCCTTTCAGTGCAAATGGTGCATTGCACAGCTCTCTGGCACTATACATGTTAATACAAAGCAAACACCAGATCCTACCACTGCATTGGAACCCAGACAGGCATCAAATCATGACTACATGGAACACATGTTAATTGGCTTATAATACATTGTAACTGGTCACTGTATAAGTTAGGTTATCATTACCCTGCATAGCACAGGCTCAGTGAAATACTATGATAGTGTGGGGCTCATTTAATGCTAGATTACTTGGTCTGTTTGTTTATTGGAGCCACCACATGTGGCATCTTAGAAGCTGGCAAATTCCACTGAATCTTATTATAGAGAGGCAGAATTTCAATGTTACACATGTGGCACGCAGACAGTTAAATGTTTATGAAGCATATATTATGTTAATTAATTCATTTATTTCTGTATTTATTTATTTGTTGTGTGTAAGAATGGTGGCATTATCATGAACATGTAAACTAGCATCCACAGCCATATGGGATAAAGGACAAACATATGGTTTATATATAATATATATCACTCTGTGCACCATGACATTTTTATGATTTTTTTTTTAACTTTATATTGGCAGCAGAAACATTCCTGTGTGTAATATATATCTGTATGTATGTTGATGGCTCTTTGCACAGCACATGGACTGGGCGTATAGCAGCAATTGTGCCAGAGGTAAAAGACCACCCAGGTTCCAAAATATAATAACCTCTACAGCCCACCACTGCACTCATGGGTTTCCGCAGAAAGAACCTTGATCTGTATGGGTAATTGCAAGACAACCTTTTGTGAATTATAGTTCCAGACATCATGTAGGAGTTAATGGCACATTCGCCTACACTCCGTCATCCTTTTCTTAAAAAAATGTTTTCCAATCTTAAGCCTATCTGATTAAAGGTCTGAAAGGCAGACTTTGGCTGTAATTTAGTTATTAAAATGTAAATGCCATTGAATAGGAGAGGGTCAGAATATATATGACTTCAATGCAATGTGCAAGCCCCATTCATGGCTTGAGACAAGAATTGGACAATGACATGATTTAGAGACCTTCAATTTGGGCACAAGCGAGGGGCAGGGTGAATGTATTCATCCTCTAAAAAAATCTTAAAAAATACTATTTAAAAAAAAAAACACTTTGAGATCATGTAGAGGTTCATAATTGTTTTATTGTGACATGGACAGATAAATGACTAGTGATCAGTGGCATTGCAAAAACAAACAATATTTCTAAAGAAAATTATAGCTATTCATTATTATGGCATTCATCCTTGATATATCAAAGACTTGTTGAGTGTTTTAAACCGATTTCATTTGTGTCTTGTATGTCCCCCAAATGTAAACGTATTTATTACCATAATTACTTATTCTGAACTAGCCTCCCTATTTAATGAGTGGAGTGCTGCTAAGGACTATGCGTATCTATTCAATCCACCCCCCTATAATTCACCTCTCTGTGTCAGGTTTCCCAGATGAA